CCCCCGGACCTCCCCCGGCCGCGACCCCCGGCCCGGCCCCCGCCTCTGTGGAGCCCCCTGCTGTGTAACGGTGGAGCCCCAGCCTCAGCTGAGCCAGGACGGTGCGTCGGGAGAGGTCGTGATCCGGGTCACATCGGTGTAGGAAACCCCGGGGCTTTTTTTTTTAATTTCCCAGATCGGAGACGGAGGTCGGCGTGGATCAAGGACCCTGATCCAGAATCCCTGCCTGATTCCGTGCTCCGGCAGAAGGTCCACGTGGGATTTCAGAAAAGGTGCGATGTTCTGTGACTGAGTGGGAAACGGTTCCACATCCTTGTTATTGTCTGACCCAGAGCTGAACTCGAACTGAAGACTGAACTCAGACCTAGTTAAAGGTTTAGACTTGTTCAGACTTTACCAACAGAAAACTGATGTTTGTAAACAAGTCTCTGTCCCACACCAAACCTCATGGAGAAAACCAGTGATTTTCTCTCCCAGAGACGGAGCAGCAGCAGCAGTTGATCCACTGCTGCTCCGTCACACAGTTCCAATGAGTTCCTCTGTGACATCACTGGTTCAGATTCACCTCAGTGACACAAACTGACCACAGGAGGCAGCAGAGGACCAGCAGCTGCTGTATCGCTCTCAGCTGAAATCCCTAGTTTTCTCTATGAGGTTTTGTATGGGAGAACTGAACCATCAACAAGAACAAACATCAAAGAATCGACCTGAAGTTTCCCCCCGGACTACATACTAGAAAGTATGAACGTAGAAAACAACATACTTTAACTTTGTTGTTTTCTAAAGAGCGAAAAAAAAAAGCTCATCTTTTTGTCCCTCCTGGCCGTTCTGGGGTACTGCAGGAACATTGGATTTCCCTTGAAGGAAGACCTTGTCATCCACGAGACGTCAAAAACATGTCAGAACCTGGAGAGTTCTTCATCTTTAGTCCAGCAGCGGTGTCTCGAGTGAAACTTTAGTCAAAACAACATCAACGATGATATTTTACAGATGACGGCCTTTTTTCTATTGACATCGAGCTACATTTACTCCTCCTTTCATAAATGACAGGACGCGTTTGTTCATTTTGGTGAGAGCTAGCTTGACTTTTGTGTCAAATGAAAGTCCAGTGGGGTGGGTGGTGTGACCTGGTGCCTTACAGACGCTGGGCCGTGTCTCTACAGGGGGCGCTCAGTCAGTATCTAACACACCCCACAAAGCTAGAACTGCCCCTCCCAGTGGGGTGGGTGGTGTGACTTCCTGGTGCCTTACAGACGCTGGGCCGTGACTAAAGACTTGAATGTGACTTTTACTGTTGCTGTATTTCTATTTCTTCTGAAGTGACGTTGATGTAACGGAGGTGTGAAGAATATTTATGTACACGGAGAACGGCCTGGCTCTTCAAGGACGATGGTGGTAATCCCAAATTAGAAATTAAAATGAGCTCAAATGTCTGAATGCTCAAGAAATGTCCACATGTCCTCTTCCACAAGAAGTAAAATGACTTTTGATTTACAAACTCCTGTCTTTAAACTAAAATCTCTGATTTTCTCCATGGACTTTGGTCTGAACTAAAATCTCTGATTTTCTCCATGGACTTTGGTCTGAACTAAAATCTCTGATTTTCTCCATGGACTTTGGTCTGAACTAAAATCTCTGATTTTCTCCATGGACTTTGGTCTGAACTAAAATCTCTGATTTTCTCCATGGACTTTGGTCTGAACTAAAATCTCTGATTTTCTCCATGGACTTTGGTCTGAACTAAAATCTCTGATTTTCTCCATGGACTTTGGTCTGAACTAAAATCTCTGATTTTCTCCATGGACTTTGGTCTGAACTAAAATCTCTGATTTTCTCCATGGACTTTGGTCTGAACTAAAATCTCTGATTTTCTCCATGGACTTTGGTCTTTGTTCTTTGAGGTTCTGTCCATGACATCAACAGAAGCTCATTTCTAGTGGGTAAAATAAATTTTAACTTCCTACACCTTCTGTCTCGGATGTTACCCATTAACAAACTGTTAGTTATTCTTCTCCTGGATCAGCAGGGGGAGACAGAGTAAAACAAAAGCAGGGGCTGGGCGTGGCTTGACGAGGTGGGCGGTGTTTGAGGCGGACGCTCCCCGGTCTCTGTGAGACTCAGAACTTTATCGGACCGTGTCCAGTCCGCCACGTTCGCCCGTCTGTGTTTGTTTGTTTGTTTGTTTGTTTGTGTGCTCGGCAACAAACAACCGGACAAGGCCGCGCACGTGGATCGACGCGCGGTCGATGCGCTCATGTGCGCGCGCACAGGCTGCAGGAGCGGAGTTCCCGACTTTTTCTCTTCACTTTTTTTCCCCATTTTTTCCGAGCAAGCTCCACCGTGCGCGTGCGCTCGTGCGCAGGGAACTCATGAAACAAAGAGGTCTTCTGCCCTCATCCATCCGTCCATCATCCATCCGTCATCCAGCCGTCGTCGGGAATTTCATGAACTTTTGTCTGGGAATCTAACTACCGACACATGCGTGAGGCTGCGCGGACGCGCGGCACATGCACGCAGCCCGGATTCCTCCAGGATTAAAGGCAGGATCAGGAAGAATGGATCCGTTCTTCACTGAGGTGAGGAGACCGACAGCTGCCGTGTTGACATGGTTTTTACTGTATTATCGCGATACAGGCCAATGACAGATATCGATGATCTGTGAGAGTGTGTGTGAGAAGGTGGAGTGTGTGTAAGTCAATCATTGTCACTCATCATAAGACAAAAACCGAAGTTCCCAGACCTACCTGAGAGTTAGCACAAATATGCTAACTCTGACCCGCGGTTCGTCCGGGAAATAAAATCGAACTGGAAAGTAGAAATAATGCACAACAAAACTTTTAAGGTTGAAAAATGAAGGACTTCACAAAGTATTAGATCAGTGCGGGTCATTTAGGCTAAAAGTTAGCTTAAAAAAGAGTTACATTTCTTTAAAAGAACACACATTAGTCAG